TAATGCTTGTCACTAGAGCTAAACCAGCGTAAAATGGATAATTAAAAAAAGAAAGAAAAGGGAAGTCGAATCAGTTTAACGTTGTAAAGAAAGAGACAACGAATTACGATTTTAAAAAATAGTATTTGCTTCCCAATCCTGCCCCCTTTCCTAGACAGGTAATTAAATTATTTTATTCAACAGACCAATTGCTGTTCTCTTGTCTTTTCTAGTAAATTGGTGTCTCTCTTGTCAGACTGTTGACAAATATTTCCCATAGGGATTCTGAATTTTGTTAGCTTCTATTTCAACACCGAAGTCAGCTCGAGAAACACACACACACTATAGCTCTGAACTCATGTCAACAAAACAGGTGTGCAAGAAATAATCTGGAAAAAAAATAAATGCAATTTTATGTCGGTTTTGAGACAGTTGTGAAATCCTTTCAGACAGTCCAGAGTCTCTGTTCATTGCCCCTGTCGCTTTAGGCAGTTTTAAACATTACATACACCAATGAAATAAGAGTGTAAGCATTGTCATTTTTATAGTAGTTATACTTATGAAAAATAAGTTAAATGCTTTGGACTATAAAAAAACGCTTGTGCAAAAATTCTTAATTGGGCAGGACAACTGTAAAAGGTTGCACAAATTCCTAAACACTCATAATGGTGCTCTCAGTTTTGAGTATGTCTTTAAGTTTTTGTTCTGCTTTAGAGGAGCAAAATGGAAACTTGTTGAGTGTAAATTATTATTATGATGAGGTTTTTGAAAGCACGGGGGAAAAAATGACTCGGAACTCTCGCTCTCCTATGCACAAAAAGCCCTCAGTGAAACAAAAAAGCCTGATTTGACCTTAAATAAAACACACATACATTTCTATATTTTAAGTTAGATAAAATAGTAAGATTATGTGTGTATACAGTTTTTTAAAAGTTCACTAATTATTGGGTTCTAGCAGATAAGAAGGCTTTCTTCTTACACTAATAAGATGAAATAAATAACGTGCAATCATTAAAATTCTGTTTTGGAACATATAGAGGTGCTTATCATATATGGTTAAGTCCGTGGTCGGCAAACTGCGGCTTGCAAGCCACATGCGGCTCTTTGGCCCCTTGAGTGTGGCTCTTCCTAAGCCTTAGGAGTATACTCCCTAATTAAGTTAATAACAATGTACCTACCTATATAGTTTAAGTTTAAAAAAATTGGCTCTCAAAAGAAATTTCAGTCGTTGTACTGTTGATATTTGGCTCTGTTGACTAATGAGTTTGCCAACCACTGGGTTAAGTGACAGAGGAGGCTATAGAATGGACCAAATAGTATCATTCAATTTTTATAAAAACACGTTTAGAACAAAGAAGAATATATGACAAATGTTAATTAATGGTGGATAGTGGGATTATGGTTGATTTGTATGCTCATTATTTCTTTAGCTATATAATTGCATTATAATAAGTACGTTTTACTTTTATAATAAGAATGAATAAAAGTCATTTTTAAAGAAAAAATTTGTGAGTGTTTTCCTAATTTGCAAGCATAATGAGACTAAGTTTTTGCTCTAAAGGATATTGTTTCTTTGAACTTGAATATTTTGGGTATAAATTAATTTCTCCAGTATTCTAGGAAATGGTGCTGAATAGTGTAGCAGTTATATTCCTTACCGTGGAAAAGCTCCTTTGAGTAGGAAATAACCATTGTTCCAGAACTTTCTTAAAGCACTCTTTGAGTATATATATATGCTTCTTTCCAAAATATTTCCATACTGCCTAAAGATATGGTCTAGATTCTTTAGTCCACTTTGAAACCTTATCATGTCAAAACTCAACATACTTTTCTTGCTTTATTGCCTCTTAAATTCTTAAAGGAAACCTTAGCTCTATCTGTACTTGTCAGCTCAATATCTCCAAATATACCTTGTGCTTTCTTGCTTCTGTACTTTTGCTTTTTTGTTACTTGGAATATCTTCTTCTGACCTTTGTGTAAGCTAATTCTACCCATTTTCCAATTTCCAGTTTAAAAAAACAAAACGAAAAACACTCATATCTACTATGCATCCTGGCCCCTCCTGTTAAAAACAAATCAGCAGTTATTATCTGTGCTTACGCATTTCTCAGATACCACCTGGTATTTTTGCGTAAATTTCCTAATTCCATTTTAAACTTCTTAAGGGCAAGAAAGCTTGTCTTATATTTCTCTCTATCCCTTAAAGCTTCTACCATGGCACCTTACACAGCATAGGTGCTGAATATCTATTCTTTGAATATACAGCGCTGTCACCAGCTCTTTTGAGTCAAAGCAGCGGCATATTGTGTTCACCAGTAATCCGGGATAAGAGTCAGCACTTTGCTTACAACAGTGTGGAAAAAAAAAGAATTGATAATTTGGCTGAGTTGTCAATAGATATAGATGGTAAAGAATTGACAGTATCTTTCATAAAAATTAACACAGGAACTAAGAGTGGGGTGGTGAGTTCAGAACCTAAACTTAATTTCACATAAATATTTCTTTTAAAAGTTTCTTATGGAGCTTATTTGGAGTTTGATGGTATCTTTGTTCTTAACCATAGAGGCACAGTTTTGCCTTACATTCTCCTCCAGCTGCTAGTCTCAAACCCCAGAGATTTGATGCATTTGATGGGGATTATATGGACCATCACAGTTACTCTGTTCTAGAGCATTTTAGGCGGTCATGTAGGGTGTTCAAGAGTTAATATTTTTTCTCTTCTTATTTTTGGAAACTTAATTATGTCTCTTTTCAAACAAATATAACTTGGAGGTGTTTATTTGGCAAGTGTTAGACACTTACGGAGCTTATCTTTTTCAAAAAAATTATTTTAATTTACAGATGTTTGCTGGGACTAATACAGCTGATGAAATACCTGCCCTTTTCTGCTGAAGGTAAATGACTTGCTACTTCTTAAAAATACCAGGTACCAGTAGAATTCAGAGATTGTATAAAAAGACCTAGTTAGTCATGCAATGCGATATAATCCCAGACCCCAAAGAAATGATCCTTTTAAGTAAGAATTTTATTAGTACATAATGGAATGACATATTATTGGTTCAACCTATATCAGAGTCACCCGGGAGCATTTTTAATATGTGGAATTGCCTGGGCCAGTGTGGCTGAGCGTGGACCTATGAACCAGGACTTAATGATTCAATTCCCCTGTCAGGGCACTTGCCCGGGTTGCGGGTTGCAGACTCCATCCCCAGTGTGGGGAGTGCAGGAGGCAGCTGATCAATGATTCTCTCTCATTATTGATGTTTCTATCTCTCCTTCTTTCCTCTCTGAAATCAATAAAAAAATATTTTAAAAAAATATGTGGAATATGCATGGGCTTGTCTCTTCAGCGGATTTTGATTCAGTAAGTTTTTCAGGTGAGTCCTAGCATGTGAGTTTTAAAAAATGCCGACAGGTGCTTCTGATTCATTGTAGCTCGTTGTCACTGTAGCATGTATATGACACTGAAGATGATGGACATGGCAGGTAATAATGCAGCGGGAGTTGAAGGACATAAAGGTTAAAGATTTTAAAAATATTTGAAGTATTTCGATTTTGTGTGTGTGTATTTATGATATTAGGTTCATGCTTTCACTTTGCCTTTCATTCAATGAATGTTTTCATTAAGAAAGCACTAAAAAGTTTTTTATATAATGATTCTCAACGTTTAGGTTTAAGCTCTAGGGTTCTCTCAACTTGAAAATTTTCATATCTATAAATACAATTTAAAGCTTGATTCACTTTGTTGCTTCAGATTACAAATGAAGTAAATTAATGGAAATAAGACTAAATTACAAGTAAGTCATTTCTTATATATTCTTTATTTCAGAGGCTGGTTTAATTGATTCACTTTCCACATAAGTGTGGGAAGTAGAAAAGTCAGTTTCTCATAATAAAAACTAATAGGTAAGTGAACGTTACAGAATTTTACTTAATGAAGCTATTTTCTGTTCTCGTTTTACTGGTTTTAAGACTGAAATAATTTTTAAACATTGATTTTAATGAGTCAACTTTTTCTGTTGCAGAGCCACCCTTCTTGTCAGAAATATTCATAATGCTATAGGATCATTTTGTTATGTATTTCCCAACCTACAATGTTTACAATAATTAGAATTTAAAATGTGATAAAATTATTTCTTACAGTTTTATTTTAACTTTAAGAAAACAGCAAAAACTGTATTGAATTTGTTACTCAAATAATCATAAGCTATATGTACTTTGTGTCAGTGAATGAATTGGATGTGGATAAAAATTACCTGGGAATTTAAAAAATTCTAAATTCTAGATTGTCTCAGTTCTGCTAAATCAAAATTTTTGGGGATGATTTTGATATTCATTCTCATTTAGAAATCACTGCAGTATGTAATGTTTAAAGGATTATAGTTTTAAGGGGTAGAAACTTGGAAAATATTTGTAGAGAAATCTCATTACACCAATTGGAAAAAAATTCCTCATTTGGTTTATGTAATTGTCAGAGAAATGTCTTGCATTTCAGAGGTTAAATTTGTTGTTATTTTTATTTTCAGCAACTTTGTTGGGTAAATTATTTCAAAATCTGCCTCTGGACTAAACAGAAAATCCAAGTGTGATCTTTCCTCTCATGACAGAGAATTAGATGTTATATATGACACTGGCAATTTAAGTAACCTGGGATTTTGTATAGAAACATAATGGGAAAATTCATGAGCCTCATTATTGTATAGAAAATATATGATAATAACAACTTAGAAATAATAATTTGTCTTTAAAATTGAGTACGGTATTCTTCAATACTGTATCAGTCCTAATGCTATCATCTTTACTTTAGGTTCACTGATTGATTCCGTAGCTCATGGGAAGAAGCCTTATCTATTTTCATAATTATGAGAAAAACGAGTGGTTAGGTTTCAAGAACGAAATTCTGTTCTCTGATATTAATCGTAGCTATTTTCCTTGTGATAGTAAGGAATTGTGATTTTTGCCATTTTTTCCCCAGTCTTTGAATATTCAACGACAATACCTTTTGACTTTGATTATTCAACATGCCGAACAGATACGGATATTGCAGCTATTGCCTCCTGCGCTATACCGATCTGGACGAGGTGAGAGGACCCTGTTAATATGGTTATTACACCTCAAAGGACTTATGAGTGACTACCTCTTCTTTCACATTCTAGTCATTTAAAAAAATTCATTCATTAAACAGATCATAATAACAACCTTCTCATTGACAGACACTGTTTAAGGTTCTAGGGATATGACCATGAACAAAACCATGTCCTTTTATTTATGAAACTTATATTATGGTACAATCAAACAGAAAATAGATATATAAACTTAATACCTATGTCAGATTGTGATAAATGTTACAAGGGAAATAAAATGAGGGAGGGAGTATAATATTAGGTAGGGTGGCTGGCTAGCTGAGGTTCAGGAAATAACATTAGTTGGGATTTGAATGAAGTGTAGGAGCCAGGCTCGCTTACCTTTGGGGGAAGAATTTCTAGGTAGAGAGAACAGAGAGCAAGGGCAGAGACCCTGAGACAGATGGGTGGTTGGCATGCTAGCCTAAAAGCCAAGTGGTCATTGTGACTGCAGTAGAGGGAGAGGGTGAGGTGGGAGAGGGTTGAGTGATAGGCAAAGAATTCAGAGAATTAGATTCTGTAAGATGTTGTAAAATAAGGTAAGGACTTTTAGTTTTATGGTTTGATGAACAAAAGTTTTACATTTTACAGTAGTTGAACTTTGTTTTTCTTTTGTTGCATGTGTTATGGGTCTCATAAGGATTGCCTGATCCAAGGTCATGAAGATTTATGCCTGTGTTTTTCTTAAAGAGTGTTAAAGTTTTAGTTTTTACACCTAGATCTTTGATTCACTTTGAGTAAATGTTTCTAGATGATGTGATTTAATTAGCTCCTAAAAGCCTTGTCTCCAAACAGAGTCATTTTGGCAGTTAGAACTTCAACATATAAATTTGGCGGGAACAGAATTCAGTCTATTATAGCAATTACAATTGATTGAGTTTCAGATTTTAAACCAATTTTGCATTCCTGGGGAAAAATTACACTTGATCATGGTGTATAATGCTTTGTATGTGTTGCTGGGTTTGATTTGCTAGTAAGTATTCTGTTGAGGATTTTTGCATTTATGTTCATAAGGGAATCATGTCATAATGTCATAGGTGAAGTTGTAGTATAATCAAGTTCTGGTTCTGCTAGTGCTTATATATCAAACACAGGTTTATAACGTGAAAAAATCTGTTTAGTGGCATTTGCCTTGTTTAATTATCTAACAGTAATCACTTAAATTTATATTAAGGAAAAGTTTTTATTATTGTGATTTCCACACCTCCGCCTTTTAAAAAAGAAATACTTTTTAATGCTGGTTATAAACACGAGGAGGCAGATAATAAATCTCAAAGCTCTTTTTAATATTTCTCTCATAAATTATATCATCACTTGACTGGGAGATTATCTGTTGAACCTTTGATAATGATAAAATATATTAAATCTTTAACAACACGTTTTATGCAATAAGCTCTTGTATAATTTTTTTTTTGCTTAAAGTAATTTTTAGACATTTGGATATTCCTGCACTAAATGGACATTTAAAAGACTGTGTTAATGACAGCAAAAAATAATTTGTCCTATCTTTGAAAGCTCAAATTTCAAGGCTTTGGAGAACTATTAAGGCAGTGAAGAAATAAGGAACTCAGATGTGGCTGAATATTAAACAAAAACAGTAGAAGCCAAAAGAAAGAAAATAACACCATCTTAGAATTCTATATTTAATAAGTACATCATTTAAAAGGAGGTGCAATAGAAACATTTTATTTTACAAAGACAAAAATTAAGGAACTATGTCTAGCAGACCCTTACTAAAGGAAATAGCAAAAGTATTTCTTCAGGTGTAAGGAAAAGAATTCCCGTTGGAAGCTCAGAGATATGGGAAGGAATAAAGAGCAATGGAAGTGTAAATATGTAGGCAATCTAAATAATTAATGTCACATGGGATTAACAGAAATGGCATATAAATTGGAAGGAAAGTAAATTGAGTTAATTGGACGTTGCATTGCTCAAGAAGAGAGTAAAAGTAACAAATAATTTTAGACTTTGATAGTTCAGGTTGCTTGTTATATACTGTTCCCACTAATGGACTAGTATATCTGTAACTACGTTAATAGGAACAAATTGGAATAATAAAAATAGTTCACAAGACAGTAAGAAAGAAGAAAAATAAGGACATTGTATTAGCAAGAATAATAAAAATAGATTTAAAAATAAAAACAAAGATTAGATCCAAATATATTGAGGAAAATATAGACTTGGTGCTTGAGTTAAACTGTATGCAATATTTTACCAGAGGTCCTAGTCAGATAAATAAAAAAAAGAATTACAATGATAAAGATTAGATAAGAATAAATAAAACTATTCTTATTCGTACACAATGTGATTGTGGAATAGAAAATTCTAAAGTTATCTAGATAAACTGTTAATATTGACAAGTGAGTTTAAAAACTTGTGGGGCTGACATAAAAAGATACTGTACTTTTATATACAAACACCACACAGAAAATGAGATTTACAAAAGATATTTACACCCTGGCTCGGGTGGCTCAGTTGGTTGGGCATCATCCCGAGCACAAAGAAGTTGTGGGTTTGATTCCTGGTACAGGGCATGCAGGAGGCAGCCAATTGATGTTTCACTCTCGCATAGATGTCTCTCCCCCTCTCCTTTTCTCTCTGAAAATCGATACAAAACAATCTTAAAGAAGAGATGCTTGTTATGCTGTGATTAAGCATCATTTTTTGCACAAATCGCCCACATTTAAGATGATTGTCTTAGGAGAGACTTAGAGAGATGTAGTTATTATATCTAAGAGAAAGGTAATCTTATGGATTTTAGATGTATATTTTAGAATTGCTTTATAGAAAGGGTATGTCAACGTATACGTCTATCAGGAGTGTATTTGTAAATGAATCCATTTTGTGAAACTCTCACTGCCGAATATGACCCTTTTAAAAATACTCAGTTTCTTTCTTCTGTACAGCATGTGAACAGTCCGGAACACAAATTCATGACCGCACAGAATAGAGAACGGATGGGTGGTGGTAGTGGTGGTGGAGGAGGAGGAGCAGGAGGAGCAGGAGGAGCAGGAGGAGCAGGAGGACAAGGAGGACCAGCAGGACAGGGAGGACCAGCAGGACAAGGAGGACCACCAGGACAAGGAGGACCAGCAGGACAAGGAGGACCAGGAGGATCAGGAGGAGCAGGATCAGGAGCAGGAGAACGAGATGCTGAGGTCCCCAGTAGTAGTTTGATGGAACGTTTCTTGCAGGATGTCCTGCTGCACCACCCCTATCATTATCAAGAAAGCAGGTAAAGTAACTGAGTGGAATAATATTAGTACATAGTTGTTATTATGTGTTACAGTAGATATTTGCGTTAACATTCAGCCCTTCTTAAAGTGCATCTTTGAATCAGGGAATATAATGTGAAATGGTATCTAGTAACTCCCCTTTGCACATTGCCATCTTGGTGGATTTCATGATTCTGCGTGTCTTTTTCTTCCTTTCTTTTCTTAGCCAAATGATGCAAAATTGATTTTATTTTGAGAATTTTGTGATAGTGTTTAAGACAAATGGAGATACTCCACTAGGGTTCTGAAAAACTAGGGTAGAGTGGTTATTGTACTGCAATTTTATTGATTAGAGTTCAGAAGTATGAAAAATGATGGCAATTTTTGGCTCTTCATGATATTATTTTTGATGCCAGGGTTAACATTTTTATTTTACAATACCAAAGCACTATCTTGATATTAATTGCGATAATATCTTTTTATATGTATGCATATTCTCTTAAACAATTGTGGCATCTCTCAAATTTAAAAATATGTAATAACGGTATTTTTAGGTGTTAATATATTTAAAATTTTTATTATTTTTCAATAGACTATATTTTTAGGTAGTTTTAGATTTACAGAAAAATTAAGATAGTGCAGAAAGTTTTTATATACCACCTCACCCAGTTTCCCTATTAATAACATCTTACATTAGTGTGGTACACTTGTTACAGTTAATGAACCAATGTAATATATTAACTGAATTCTGTAATTTATTCAGGTTTCCCTAGTTTTCACCTAATGTCTTTTTTTTTTGGTTCAGGATCCCATCCAGGATAATCAGATTGCATTAGCTTGTTATATCTCTTTAGACTCTTCCTGGCATTTTTAATTTTAATAGGCATTACAAAATTTTTCTTCATATAAACTCATCTATATTCCTACCAATAATGTGTTAAAGTGCCTGTTATTGCACCTTTGCCCAATGTGTTAAAATAATAATAGTTAATACCTATGAATGATTACTATTTTCCAGTATTTAAAAAAAATGTTCTTTACATGTAACAACTAGTTTACTTTTCAAAACAATCTAATGAGGGAAATAGTATTCTCTCCTTTTTTGGGGGAAGGGGAGGCCTAAAGCCTAAAAGGTTAAGTAACTTGTGTTAAACTTTGTGCTATTTGCTGCTCTGATAACCAAAAAATGAGGTATGGCTTTACATTTTTCGTATGTCTGGGAGCCATTTGTGTTTATTAAGTAGCAATTGGTGGAGCTACTTCCAGCTGCACTCATTACCTCACTGAAATGCATTATACAGCCTGGTGTGATTAGCTCAATTATTTGTCCTCTAAGAATCTCGCCTAGGATAAAAAGAAAATACCATTGTGTCCTTATTTAAACATTTTAAACAGATATTAAAAATTTTTACGATTTTCCCCTTTTCTTTTTAGATCAGGACCAAATGAGAATAACGCCCCGCCTGCTGGGAATAATGCACCTGCCAGGGATGACGCAGCTGCTGAAGTGATTCTCATGGATGACTCTGCTTCTGAAGGAATGGCTGATGATGCTCCTGGAGCCAGAGGAGAGATACCCACCCACAATTCTGAACCTACTGGAGAGTTGCATTCTAGACCTAGTGTGTCACAGGAATGTATGCAGGGTGTTCCAATTCGGCCATCAGTTATTCAAAAATTGGAGAAGGGGCAGCAGAAGCCCTTGGAGTTTGTTTATAAAATTGGGAGTGGCCTGAAAGGATTTAATCCAGTAGGTGTTGGTCAAGCTACAAATACTGGGAAAAACCCATTAGGTCCCTCAGTGATTTCCACTGCTCCTGCTCGTCCTTTGCCCGAGAGTTCTAATGCTCGACCAGTTATAACTAGCACTGCTAGGTTACCAGTAGCAGCCAGTTTGGATTCGGTTAACAAATGTGACCCAAACAAAGTTGACAGATCCCTTGAACAGGGAGACGGGGGCTCTAGAAATCCTATGCCCTCAACCAGTCTAGAAAATTCTTCACGTTTAAATCCGAAACCTAAAGAGTCAAATAGAAAATCTGTATGTATAAATCCAGATAAATCGGTTATACAGGAAGATGTAAAATCTCGGGGTAAAACTCCGTCACCTGGCTTTCAATCACGTGCATCTATGGGTCCTGAGGGTTCCTTAAAGGTTGAGTCAGTTTCCAAATTAGCAGTTAACCCCACCATCAATCAGAATAAAACTGATATGCCTTCTAATAAAGGAACCTTTGAAGGTGCCATTCCAAAGCACCAGGAGAAATCCTTTCCGAATGTGGATCGTACCCAAGACAGAAAGCAGGTGGTTTTTAACAAGCCAGCCTCTCTGGAACAGAAATGCTCGGTGATTACTAAAATGGACTTTGCTTGTGGCTCTCAGTCAGTGTCTGATCAACCTGAAGTGGCTGTACAAGATCTTTGCAGCGAGGGGCAAATTGACCAAGAAGACAAGACCTATGAATCAAGAGCTTCTGAGATGAGTTTTGATTGCAGTTCCTCTCTTTATTCAGTGACTGACCAACCGAAAGTGACTGCCCAAGAAACAAACCTTTCCGAGGAAGTGCGTGATGATTTGCAGCAGAACAGCAATGAATCTTGTGCTTCTGAAATAAGTTCTGTTCACGATGGCCCTCTGCAGTTGGCTACCAACCGAATCCAAGTAATTGTTAAAGGCACTAGTGTTCAGAAGGCAGTGCATGTTCGCCTGGTTGATGAAAGCTACGACTCCAGTGATTCTGAGATGAATTTTGATGGTGACACCTCAGTTCAGCCAACTGATGACGACGCCCAGCAGCCTGCAGAAGAAGTAGACCTTCCTCAGGAGGCACCCATGGACTTAGATAACAACTATGGATCTGATAGCTCTGAAATAAGTGCTGGTTCTGTTGTACCACTTCAGTCAGTGGTTGAGGAACTCCCAGTGGCTGTCACTGACACAGAACCTCAGGAGAAGGTGTACACTGGCTTGGTTGATATGAACTATGGGTCGAGTTGTTCTGAAACAAGTGTTGGTTGTGATGTTTCTCTTCAGTCAGTAATTGTCCATCCCCAACCGACTGTCAAAGAAGGAGACCCAAAGGAGGGGCCTGTCTACCTGAAAGATAGCAACAAATCCAGTAGTGCTCAAGCACATCTTGACTGTGATACCTCTCTCGAGGCAGTGACTGATGAACCTCAGAGGGCTGCTGAAGGAATCAATCTTCCGAAAGAGAACAATGACCTTACGGATATGAACTGTGACTATTACAGTCCTGAAATGAATCTCCACACTGATGCTCAGTTAGTGGCTGTCCAACCTCAAGTAGCAGTTCAGGAAGTAAACCCTCAAGAAGCAGCTATTGACCTGCAGAATAAGAGTGCTAACTCTAGTGTTTCTGACCTAACTGTTAATTCTCATGCTTCTCTTCAACAGTCAGCTAATGAACAACCTCCCGGAGCTCTGGGCGACATAAATATGAAAGAGTTAAATGTTGATGTGGAAGTTAAGAGCTATGGATGCTCTAGCTCTGAGTTCACTTTTGATTCTGACCCTCCTCTTCTGTCAGTTACTGAGCATTCTGAGCTGAATGGCGAAGAAATAAGGAAAAAGGACATGAACATGGAAGATGAGAGCTGTGGGTCAAATAGTTCTGAAATGACTTTTAATTCTGATATTCATCTTTGCCCAGTAGTTGGCCAACCTCAAGTAGCTGAGGAGGAACCTGTTGATCAGGTAAATAAGAATAATGAATTTTGTGGTTCTGAAATGGCTTTTGATTCCAATGTACCTCTTCCTTCAGAGACTGATCAATCTGAACTAGGTGTTAAAGAAGTAATTAATCAGAAAGAAGACTATAAACACTTAGGAAGGAAGAATGATGAACCCAGTGGTTCTAAAATAAGTTTGGATTTTTATGTCCCTCCTCTTTCAGTGACAAATTCTCCTGGAGTTCTTGCTAAAAGACTGAAACTTCAAGAAGAAGAACCGATGCACATTGAGCCTAGTGTTTCTGGATTAAGTTTGAATTATCACTCAACAATTGGACATTCTGAAAACCCCAGTGAAGAAGTAAACCTCCAGAAAGATGAGTATGTACAGCTGGAAAATAAGGGTAATGGACTTGATGTTCCTGAAAACAGTTTGAAATCTTCTATTTCTCATTCAGTGACCCATCATCTTGACGGAGCTGTGAAAGAAAGAAACAATCCGAAAGAAGAACAAATAAAAGACAAGGGTAATGAATTAAATGTTTCTGAAGCAAGATTGGATTTTGGTATCCCCTTTCAGTCAGTTATTCAAAGAACTGATGTAGTTCTTAAACAAATGTTGCTTCAAAAAGAAAAGCATGCTGCCTTTAGCAGTTCTGAAATAAATTTAGATTCTGATGTCTCTCATTATTCAGTGACTGAACCTCAAATAGCCGTTAAAGAAAAAAATGATCAGAAAGATGAATATGTTTTAAAAAACAAGAGTGATAAATATAGTGGCTCTGAAATAAATGTCCTTCCTCATTTGATGACTGCAAAACCTCAGCTAGCTGTTTTGAGGGAGGACCATGTTGACCCAGAAGTTGAAAGTACTAAATCTAGAGGTTTTGATAGAAATTTGGATATTGGTCCCCCTCGTCCATCAGTCATTGAGAAATCTCAGCTAGCCCTTTTGAAGAAAAAACATGTTGATCTGGAGAACACAAGCAGCAAATCTAGCGATTGTAAAGTAAAATTGGGGTCTAATGACCCTCTTCAGCCAATGACTGCACAATTTCAGAACGTGATTCAAAAAACAAACCTGTGGGAGGCAAAGGATATTGACATAGAAAATAAAGTCGATAAACCTAGTGAGTCTAAATTAATACAGGATTCTGATATTTCTCCTCAGTCTGTGCCTGATCAACCTGAAGCAGCTATTAAACAAATAAACCTTGAGAATGAAGGTCATGTATACTTGGAAGATAATAACAGCCAATATAGTGGTTCTGACATGAGCTTGGATTCTGATTACTTGGCTCAGTCAACAGTTGATCAATCTCAAATAACTATTTTGGAGAAAGAGCATATTGAGCTAGAAGATAAACACCGTAAATCCTGTGGTTCTGAAATAAGTTTTGACTCTGATGACCCTCTTCAGTCAGTGGCTGAGCAGGTTAGAGAAACTGTTAAAGAAATAAGCCTGTGGAAGGATGAAGATGTGGAAGAGACAACGGATAAATCTGATGGTTTTGCAATTATGTATGATTCTAATGTTCATTTTCAGTCAGTGGCGGGCCAAACTGAGGAAATTATCAAGGAGATTAACCGTTGGAAGAAGCCTGTAGACATGGAAGGTAAGATTGTCAAACCCAGTGATTCTACACTAAATTTTGACTCTAATGAACATGTTCATTCTGTGGCTAATGAAATTCAAGAGGCTACTGCAGAAATAAATCTTCTGAGGGAGGGACATGCTTGTCTGCATGACAAGGGCTATGATCCCAAGGATTCTGCAATGATTTATGTTTCAAATGTCCATTTTCAACCAGCAGTTGAGCAACCACACATGTTGGAAGAGGAACATGCCAATTTGGACGATAAGAGCAATGATTCTGGTGGTCCTGAAATAAGTTTTACTTGTGACGATCCTCTTCAGTCTGTGGCTGACCAGCTTGAAAACGCTGGTAAAGTAAGTCTTTGGAAGGAAGGCCATTTTTACCTGGGAGATACCTACAAACTATCTGGTTATCAAATAAGTTGTGACTCTGATGCTCCTGTCCAGTTAGTGGTTGGTCAATGTCCCGTGGCTGTCAAAGAGATAAACTTGGAAAAGAGGGACCATAATGACTTAGGAAATCAGCACTGTGAACCGAGCATTTCTGGAATAAACTGTGATCCTGGTATTCATCTGCAGTTAGAAGTCGACCAACCTCACATGGTTTGCAAAGAAATGAACCTTCAGAAGACATCGCATCTTGGCATGGAAGAAAAGACTAGTGATTCTGAAATAATGTCTGATTCTGATGTCCCTCTTCAAATAATAGTGGATGAATTTCAGGTGTCAGTCAAAGAAGCAGATCCTCAGAAGATGCTGTTGGTGGACCTGGTGACCGGTGACAGTGATTGTGAAGTGATTGCTGATTCTGATGCCTCCTGTCAGCCAGTGATTGACTCACCTCAAGTGACTGTCGAAGGCATTGCCGGTATAAATGCAAAAAGTTTTGATCTAGAAGGTGCATGCTGTGACTGTTGTGATTCAGAACTAGGATATGTTTGTGAAGGCTCTCCTCAATCAGAGTCAAACCAATCCAGAAAGACTTTCAAAGTAGTAAACCAGAAGAAAGACTATATCATTCTGGAAGAGTCAACCTGTGAGCCTTATGGTTCTGAAATAAATGTTCAAAAGGATGCCTCTCGCCAGTCCAAGACTCACCAACCACCAGCGCCTGATAAAAAAAGGGCAAAAAAAAGTAACCCAAGAGGCAGGAGAGGTAAATCTACTAGTCCTAAAAGAAAATGTAATTGGGAAGAGACTTCTCAGCCAAAGACTCGTCAACAGCGGAAAGCTAACAAAGAAGACAACACGCAGAAAGATCAGAAAGGCCAGAGAGGTAAGCGCGGTCGACGCAGTGTTTCTGCAAAGGGCCGTAATGCCTCGCCTGAGTCGGCAGACCTTCAAATGGCTAATGGAGATAACCGTTTGAAGCTGAAGTTAAAGTTAAAACGTACAGATGTAAAAAATAAGGACTCTAAAGCTTGTGTTTCTGGGGTGAATATTCAGTGTGATCGCTCTTTTCAGTCTGACAATGACCGTACTCAAAAAGGTGTGAAGAAGATGTCTTTTAGCCTGAAAGAAATGAAGCGTGACTCCTATTCAAGCTCTGGTTCTAAGGGTGGTTCTGGAAGGAGATCAAAAAAAGCAAAGTTGGTTTTGGAAGATAAGGCTGATGAACCAGTTCTTGAAGCCTTGCCTCATGTCCCTCCTTCATTTGTGGGGAAAACATGGTCTCAAATCATGATAGAAGATGACATAAAAATTAACACTCTTGTGAGGGAATTTAAGGAAGGTCGTTTCCACTGTTACTTTGATGATGACTCAGAACCCAGGAAAGTAAAAAAAAAATATTCGAGTGAAGAAAGAAAGATTGTCTCATCAGACCTAAATGACACTGCATTCATTGAAGTTCTGTTAGAATGTGATTATAATGTTGATGACTTTTCAGTAGCCTTAGATAAACCTAGCCATGACCCTATAGAAAAGATGCCTTATGAACAAACCTGGCGAGTGACTTCTAGAGTCCAGACTGTAAAAGTCAGCAGTGGAGCTCAAACCAGTCTCATGAGTTACATAGTGACAAAAAGAGTAAGTGAACATGAGACATACTCGCCATCACTGAAGCGTTTACTTTTACCCAACGACAGGAGACCAAAAAAGAAAATCCAGATTGGAAGATTTGAATTTCTTGAATCATATACTAACATTTTGAAGCCTTTGCACCCCAATGCCTTAGTCTATGTTGTTTCTTCAAATGTTAAGCTGAATGAAGGTGAATCCTTCAACGTCTCTGAAATTAGCCAGCAGAATGATAAAAACAATCAGGACATTAACATCCAGTACAAATATAAACTGAGTTCCTTTGATTGTTATGACTCATTGAATAAACAAACTGTAATTAATCCTCCTCTGAACACAGAAATACTAGAGTCTGACAGGAATGATGACTGGATTCAAATTCGCTTTAGTGACCTAACCTCCAGTGAAGGAGATGACGATGCTCATGTACAAAGCTCTACTTCGTCACCTTTTATAACAGTGTCAGTAAGACATGAATTAACATCTGACCAGGGGGCCAATGGGTCTTCCGTATTTCTGGCAAAATCAGAGATCTTGAAATCTAGTGAAGTTCCGAAAGAGAGGAATTTCCAGTTAACCCTCTTAAATGGTGATGCTGCCAAAATCTCACAAAAATCAGTGAGAAATAAGTACTTAAAAAGTAAAAAGAAAGTTCAGAGAAGGAAGGTGCCAACTAAGAAGAAGCCAGGTTTACCCAAAAAGGTGTACAGACCAGTTGTTGTTCAGGAAATAACCAGAATCACCCCAGAAAAACAGTCAACTTGGATTCCTACCAAACTAAACGATATAATTAGAAAGTATATTTCAAAATACTCTGTTTTTTTGCGTCGCAAGTATCAGTCCAGGAGGGCTTTTTTTGGAATGCATCTTAAAAAGACAAAATCTGCTCTCAATAGGTTAAAGAAGGCGAAGAGACCAGCCAAGATGCTTTCAAGCTCGGTTCCATCAGCTGATGCCGAAAAGCAGTTCAGTGCTGTCCAGAGCTCTTCTCCCAAGCAATGTGTGCAGGATTCTTCCAGCATTGCAGAAACTAAGAAGAATGGTAATAAAAAACGCCTCAGAAGAAAGCAAAAAAAGCGTCCTAAACCTGTTAGAGTATATGAGTTGAGAAGCTTATATTCTCAGGTGCCATATTCTCATAGAAGGATGACTCGCCTATTACACAAATTGTTGCTCAGCAAGGCAAACAAGAAGTGTTTGTGCTGAAGCTAGTTGAGATTCAGAGCTTCACTTGAAATATATTTGGTAATTAGAGAACATAGCTTTCCCAACTTTGGCGAAAAAATTAACCAACTATTTTGCTATAGACATCACATATCAGAACTTTTATATTATTTTAAAATTAGTGTTTAAGGTCCTTTTTTAAAAGAGATTCAAAAGACCCTTTGTCCATTTGCTATAGAAGAGCTTCATCTTAATTTATGTCACATAATTTAGCACAGAATATATAATTTTCTCCCCCAACTCAAGTCCCTCGTATTTATTTTATCTGATTGTATCTCATGTCAGCAGGTTATAACATTATAAGATTTAATATGCCAAACATTTAACGCTATCTTATTTTTACTTTTCAATATTGGAACAATGACTATCTACTTATATTCAGTGTGTCTCAGAATGGCACTATCAACATTGTATTCTAACTGGATAATTAAAAAGAAGAAACTGTAATTATCTCAACTTTTGAGTGAGGTTGACTTAATCACAAACGAGATATGACTTAACCTTTCTTTCAAAAGCATTCCAGATAATGAGATTCCATAATCTTTAATCCAGATTTTAAAAACTGCCTGGTAATTTTATACACATAGCACAACTCTTTCTGCTTTATTTAAAATGGATCTACAAGTCTCTAACTTTCCACATCTGGACACATGCACATACACAATCTCTGTAATAAACAATCTCTGTTTTCCTTTAGCATTATTGTATCTTAAGGGGAAAACAACCTTGCCAATGTGAGTATACTTTTCTATCACCTTTATTCCCTCGCACTTGAAGGGTTGGTGGTTTAATATGAGAATCCAGGTTATCTATGGTCGTATCTCTTAAAAATATTTTAGACACTACCATACTACTTTTAATAGCTTAAACTGAAATTATTGGATTGGTAATTTGATTACCAGACCATTGATCGTTGTCATGAACCAATTACGTATTTATAATCTTGATACCTGAAAAGATCTAATAAAATCGACAAACCAATGGAGGCTCATTTTGCAAGTGAGAAATTATGTATTTGAACATTAGGTTGGCTTTCCTTGAACTTGCTAACTACTTTATTTAAAAAAATGTTTTATTGATTTCAGAGAGAGGAAGGGAATGGGATAGAGAGAGGAACATCAATGATGAGAGAGAATTATCAATCTGCTGCCTCCTGCACGTACCCTATTGGGGTTGGAGCCCGAAATCCGGGCATGTGTCCTGACCGGGAATCGAACCGTGACCATCTGGTTCATGGGTCGACGCTCAAACACTGAGCCACACCGGCCGGGCAACTTGCTAACTATTTTAATGATCAAATAGAAGATGTTAATATAAGCAGATTTTCAGTCTGAGATACTCAGAATGTGTTTAGATCCTTTATTCAAGGACATTGGTTGAGCTAGTTCAGATGGGTCCATTTATCCTTAAGCCAAGGATTCTGGATTATTTATTGTTAATGTTAAAGGAAAACATGAATTTAAACTATATTGTATAAACCATACTTCATTGAAACTATATCAGTGTACCATGATTTCAGAGATATAAGTGTGTTGTTATCTTAGAATTAATGAAGTATAGTGTTGTAACAGTTGATTTCTAAGTGTAGTTTTATTTCAGGGGCCATTATTTAACCTGTGCATATGCTGTGATGGTGTTAATTTCTTTACTTCTAAATTTATTTACTTTTAAATTTAAAACAGTAACTATGTTGAAAAAATGGACAAATGTTTATATTTTTAGTTGTAAAGCAACTTTAACTTTGCCTCATATAAAATATTTTAATTTCCTTTCTTAAAATATCACTGTGGATCACTGGTTTAAAATAATTTTCCAATTTTAATTTAGGAAGAATACTGTCCTACTGATTAGGAAGTACAAGCAGATAATATATAAGAATATTTTATTTGTGGGTATTGGTGTCTCTTTTCCTATGAAATAGACATATAATTCCCCTAAGAACTATCAGTAGGCATTCTGCATACTTTTAGTGTAAATTTAAAAGCTACAGATCATATGGAAATAATGCACTGTGAAATTATGATGTATCATATCTGTTGTGATTACATCATGCAAAGAGGACAGTTCTTATCATTCAAATGATGAAACATAAAAATTTACTAGCTTTTCCACGTTAGAAACTCTTCTAAGTTCCATTTTTTTAGAAGAAAAAGGTTTATATTGAAAAATTTATATTACTAAAAATGTTAAAGTATACAGTCCTGATGTGTTTTAAAACATTTTGGAACTATTTAAGTTTCTGTAATCATTATTATTTGAGACAAGCTTGAGAATGGAAAATTGTAAAAATTATAATTTCAGTTAAATTAGAAATGAGTTACTTTCAGAATTTGGTAGGTTACAAGATGTGCCCCTTGTGTCAAAATATACTTTGGCTTCATTTGCAGATTAAACAGTTGGATGTTTTTTGTGTATTCAAGAGTGCATTAAGTTCTTTTAATAGTGAAAATTGAATTACCACCACAATGAATATTTTATTAATCTTGTACTTGTTCAGTATCTTGCATAGATTCTTATTATAATTGTCCCAAGTTAAATAGTATGTGGGCAATATTGTGTAAAGTGTGTTGGCATTTGTGCATTTAAATTATTTGTGTAAGTAGGGCTTTGAGTGACACTTTTGGTAAAGAAAAGCTATATTTAAATATTCAAGCAGCTATATATTTCCATGTGAAATTAATGTGAAGACTAAATGTATTTTTTATAATGCAATTTAAAGAGTAAAATTGTTTTCGATGTTATCAAGATAAAATTTATCAAATATTGAAAGTTGTCTCTACTTTCTCATGTTAGGAGGTTTTTCTGGAAATACTTAAGGAATTAGAGAATAATGAAAACAGAAGTTTGTTTTATAAATGGTCTTAGAGATGACAAATAAGAGAATGTAAATGTTGATGCTGGTGAGACAATATTGTTTAACCAAAGATATACAGGTTATGTTCAATGGAATAGTTACTTCAAAAGATTAAAATTAAGCAAGTATTTATTTGTCTGATGGAGTGGTGGGTTAGCAACTTTTCACTTTGTGTACCTGTATTTAAAGAGTCAATGAACAGGATTGAGTTCTGGAGGCAGTATCTCTATCATTATTTGACACCTGCCGGGAAGAGAATTTTGATTCCTCTGATACCATAGAGTATGTTACGAAGGACAAGAAAACATGGAAGAGTGTATGTATGTCAATGAGGTAGGTGCCTTTGGCCTCAGTAGTAGTGACTTCTGTTTGTTTGGGTTTTTTTTGTTTTTTTTTGGTCCCAAGATTGTATTATAGATGAACAACAGCCTGCTCTATAATAAAAAAATTACTAAAGTAAAAGTATAAAATGGAAGTCCAGTTTCCACAAAGGACTTTAATGTATAGAAAAATGTGGAAAGTACTGAAAAATCATGTAATTAGAGAATTACACATCAAAATGTCAACTTTCAAAGATGAGAGGCTGGGGAAGAATCTCAACATTTCCTTATACTCTTAGAGAAATAATACAGTTAGTATGTTTCCTTTGTTATCATTTATGAATATATTTTAAAAGTTCTCCCAATGTATTTTGAACTATTTACTTTGATTAAGGCATAGGTTGAAGTATAGTTTGTTGCTGAATCATTTTTTAATCCTCACCTGAGGATATATTTTTAGAGAAGAAGGGAGAGGAGGAGAGAGAGAGAGAAAGAGAGAGAGAGAGAGAGAGAGAGAGAGAGCCATGTGAGAGGGAAACATCGATCAGTTAGTTGCCTCTGGCATGTGCCCAGATCAGCAATTGAACCTGCAACCTAGGTATGTGCCCTGACCGGTGATCGAACCTGCAACCTTTTGGTGTATGGGACGATGCTCTAAGTGAGCCACCCGGCAGGGCTGTTGCTGAATTTTTAAATAAGTATGAATTTACTTTCCCTATGTGTATAATTTATTGCATGCATGCTATATTCTACATGCATTTTATTTTCTCAGTTTTTAAGCTGGACGTGTGTGTATATCTTGAGCCCTTACTAAGTGCCAGGCATTGTACCAAGCTTTCAACCTTGAATGATCTCATTTGATCTTCAAGGAGCCCTTATTAGTTACTGTAATTGTCACGAATAGAAAATGAGAAAAGTGAGGCAGAGACCCTCAATTTTGGGATTACAAATGAGTTATTAACTGTAATCAAATCGAAATTACAATTAATCTCCATTGCCATCCCCATTCCTACTCCCAGGCCACCAGTTATCTTCTGTCATTACAGTTCAGACATTTCTGGACATTTCATATAAGTGGCCTCATGCAGTATGTAGTCTTTTGCGTCCGGCTTCTTTCATTTACCATAATGTTTTTGAGGGTCTTTCATGTTGTATCATGGATCAGCATTTTCTTTTTTATTGCTGAATAGTAGTTACAGTTTTCACTAAAGCTGGCAACAGAATGCAGGTCTTCTGATAAGGAATATGATAGAAGCTGTTGGGCTGGAGGTTAGCTGTTGTTTTTACTTCTCATACCTGTTATCCTTGATTGCTCCCCAATTCCAAGACCAACCAGCTATCTGCCTTTTTGAGTGCTCTTATCTAATACTTGAATGCTTTATGCTTCGTCTGTCTTTGACTCTTATCCCCTTTACTGCCTATCTGGGCATTCTTTTTTACTGTGCTTTATGAATTCTCACGTTCAGTGTCAACACATTGCTTTGTGTTCTAGGTCCTTTCACCACATATTGCTTACAGGTGACCGAACGGAGAATCATATCCAGGATGCCCATTATCTTAATCTACATGTGCCATAGAGCCAGGAAGTATTGATGGTACTTGTCATGGTGGACACTCTTAAGATTACTCTTCTACATAACCACCATCACATCACCAAAATCATTGATATGATATAATTAACATCGAGATGATATAACCCTCTACTCCATATAACTTATTCGGATTTTATAGATTGCCCCAAAATACCCTCTGTAGGTCCAGGATTTGATCCAGCATCACACACTGTTAAGACTTCAGTTTCTATCAGT